GGACCAGCTGCCCTTCCTCGTTTCAGATTAACTATAGCCTTTTGAACTTCTGCTAGAGTTGGGGAACTACTTCAATGTTCCGTTCACACTGTCTGGGGATGGAGGGTAGTTGTAGAGTAGCTGAAGGCCAGCTGAACTGTTCTCTGAAATGTTCCGCCCATCGTTCTAAAAGTCTGGACTGGGAGCAGATGAGAGTGTCGTCTTTTACCGAGATAGTCTCACTTACATTCGACTTATTATTTCCAGTTTTTTTACTAGCCTGTAGAGCTGTCTTGTGTTCCCTATAGCCGCCGCCTTTTCCATCTCTTTTGCTTTCGTTGTCCACCACTGCTTACGGTCGTTCCTTAGACTTTTGGTTAACCTGGATCTGACTTATTTTCGCTCTTCATCGTGTTCAGAGCCTGATTAGACGAGTTTACGAGAATCCATCAGTGCAATAGACTTTGAGGAAATCCACTGGTTCTTTGTAACTCTGTGGTTTAAATCACTGACAGATGTCATTGCTGTTTCCACAGCTGTTTGTATACCTTTTCAAGCAACATCTGGGTCAGCCTCGTTTTCAGAACTACATAAGTGTGACCTCTGTTGTTCCTGGAACCTACTTTTGGTTTTCTCGTTACTCAACTCAGTTCTAATTGGTCTTTTTAATGTGACTTTTTTGCGTCCAGTGAGGCGCAAGCAGATGCGTGCCCGTATTAGGGCGTGGTCGGAGTCCAAGCAGGTACTCCAGAATGAGCGACAATCTCCTACCGATCCTCTCCAACGATGACTGATGGCAATATGGTCTATTTGAGTCCATCGTTGGTTTAGTGTAGGGGGTCGCCATGTTAGACTATGTCTCTCCTTATGCTTAAAATTTGTGTTTGCTAAAAATAAACGATTGTCTGAGCACAGTTGCAGCAGACGGTCACCATTATCTGTTCGCTGTGCCGGAATGCTAAAATATCCACCTAAATGCCTTTCTGTTTGGTTTAAGCTACCTATCTGAGCATTAAAGTCACCCCCTATGAGTAATATGTCTGAGCGTTTAGCTTTCTGAAGACGTTCAGAAAGCTTTCTGTAAAATTCATCTTTCACATCATCTGAGCTGCAGTCAGTTGGAGCGTAGGCAGAAACGACGAGAAGGCAACGACGTGTATCCCTATCCTTCCGAATTCTTACGGAGCCGTTTAACCGAACAGCACATAGACGACTGTTGACGGGAATCCACTCTAACAGTGCTTGTTCCGCCCTCGTGCTTAGTGCTATGCCTACACCTGCCAGTCCACGAGAACTGGCCATCGGGTCACCAGATGCACGGAGGGTGTATCTCGTTGGCTCTCCGTTTTGCCGAGGTGAGGCCAAGTGAATGACCACACTGGAATCCTGTGTGCGTGTTTCGGAGACACAGCATACATCAATGGAAAGAGACTCTAGGGTTTTAGCCAAGGAAGCCTGCTGACCGATTTGACAGATTGCATTATTAAGGTCAATATTTAGATGTTGCTATAATTTTTCGTTACTAATCACCGATGATCTAGCGCCGTATAATTCTGACGAGATAATGTCAGTATTTTCTGAACAATAGGCGTACGTTATTGATACAGCTACCTCTGTCATTATTCAGTTCTTATAAACTTTTGTTTTATAAGTTCTTCATTACATTGCCCGCCGGATTATTGTGGATTAACAACATGTGAAGCTGCACGACAGAGTAATTTAAGGATATGTGACCGAGAATGTATTCTTTGTCGGGTTTGTGCATGCGATGTTTTATGACATTCTTAAAAATAAAGCACTCATTTATTATTTATTGAAGTTAATGATAATCCTTTTAATTCTATAGGTAATGAGTATTACTGGATTCTATGATGCTGTTATATGGACTGGGCGTTTTCTGACTGCTTATGAGAATATGTTTAGGTCATCAATTTTTAACTCACCGCACTGGTACCTACAAAAGATTACGGATGCAGTGATTGCTATAATAGATCGATCAGGAAAAGGTTAGTTTACTTTCTGCATGATAATCATGAGTACGTTGATATGTTGTTATGTCTTTTAGGTGGTCTACTTCTAAATAGAAAAATGTGTCCATCTTCTTGTGTTATGTTAGATGCAGTTAGCTAGAGTCTCTGGATCTATTTTAATGCTAGTTAGCACTCGTTGATAAGGCATATATGTCGCTATTGTTTTGAGACACCAATCGACATCACGTGCCAAATCCATCAATCAGAATTTCAGTTATAATTTCTTCACCCGGCGTCCGCTATTTTGTCTGTAGTCCAACATTCCTAGTCTTGAGCAACCATACGTTCTGACTGACACAATCAACCTCAAGCTGACGTAGGCTTGACTTCTATTAACCCGTCTATCCACATACCTTTCTCTATCCTCAGTCGTGAATCTAAAACAAAAGTCTACACCTATTTATTTGAACACATAAATATTGGTACAAGAGCGCACCAAATATATATGCGCCACACAAACAATGAGAATGGGAAGAGAAAAAAAGAAGGTAAGGAGCGCAGAAAAAAAGAACAACAACGGCCAGATTAGTGTAAGGTAGTGTAATAATAATAATAATAATAATAATAATAATAATAATAATAATAATAATATAATAATAATAATAATAATGAGGGGAACGGTCTACACCTAAGCTTCTATCGTATTTGAACCACTGAGCATATATCTCAAATACTTATTAGCTTCTATACATAAATTGCGAGAACACAATGCACCCCGAATATAAAATCATACTTCCCATTTAATCGTATCATAAGTCATGGAGAACAGTACATAATTCACTAACAATAATTAAGAAACAGTAAAACATGATAATCCGTAGGCCCATTGTTGGCTTACAATAAAGGGGTATATAGGAATACGATTGTTATACAATAGAAGTATAAGTAATGATAGTCCGTGTATTAGTCTCAAGAGTCAAACATTTTTCGATACCCACTCTATCACAATAGTAATCTTGAAGGGACTATCACCTTGCTCAGTGATTAGAATTCCTCACCCGGTGCTAATATCAGTGAAGTTAGTATGTAGTTGTTTGAGCTGTAGTTAATTATATTTGGTAATGATCAATATCGTATAATCTAGTCCATAATGCTGATCAAATCATTTTGATTTGAATAAAGCAATGACAAAAAGCATAGTAGAATAATACACATCCATTTATTTTACGGATTCTCTTAAACTGCTTATAATTTAGAAACAATAGTATGAATTAAGTAACAAACGGATCTACATATCTTACATCAAATCGACAGGAAGGTCTTCATCAGTGAACATCGGTAAAAAAAGTGAATAAAACTAGAAATGTTCGTACAGTTTATTATTTATGCTAATTAATATGAATATTTTATTGGGGAATTTTCGAAAGTATACTTTTAGAGACGTAAAACTAGCGCGAAAATCTAGGTGTTATAAACAATGGATTGGTTAAAAGGAATGTAACTGGTAGCATGAAATATGTTATCTAACAAAGTATTAAGAATTGTGATCACTAGGCCAGTGCAAGACTGAAAATCTTACTTTTTGAATAGACATATCTGGTTTGTCCTGCAGTAAGGATGGATTTAACGAAACAATTAATACAAAGTTATTTCAAAATGTTGACGCCATGTCCACCACCAAGTAAACAATAGGCAATCGCACTACTAAAAATATGTTGACCTTTTAGCCTCAACTGTCAGTCTTTGAGAAACTAATGCCGGAAGGAACGATCTGTCTACATTGTATTTATTGCATACAATTGGTTGTTGTGGTAGACAAACTGCTAAGTTAGCAATTCACCTTCTGAAGAAATTACATGCTATGGTCATCAGTTAGGACAATTTTAATAAGTAGGATAATAGATAAACTTTTTTTAATTCAGGCGCGGTGACAATTTTTGAAGACAGTAACACTACGAGTCAAGGGATAATTATTAACATAAACTAAAATGTCAGCTCAACGTGTTAAAGATGTTGACCTATAATTTAGATACAATAGGTCCAGGTTGATCACATATGTGCTGCATGCAATAACACTTCGATTCGTTTCTAAGACTGGTCTATGTAACGTTTCAATTCAGTAGCCTTGAAACACGAGTCAGAAGCACTTGCCAACGCTTTTGATACGATTTGGTGAAAAATCGGTAAACAACACGGGCTTTAACTATGAATATCGAGTATAAACCAAATAAATGTTTTTCTCATTTGTCATGTTATAGGTAGTCAACAGGATATATCATCTGATCAACTGGATGAATTGCTTTGTAGTTGTATGGCTGCAATTGTCAGACCATTTCATGCTCTCAGAATTGAAGATCACGAAGTTTATGCTGAAATGTCTCGAGCGATTAAAGTCCCTTTAGAATCAATTGTATCACATCTTTCAAGTTGTTTAGTTATAAAAGATAGTTCAAGTACAAATATCAAAGAAAAGAAAAGAAAAACGACAGAACCAACAAGTACAACAACTATAAATTTTAGACTAAAAGAGTTCATAGTTCATCATCTTATATTTCCAATGGTTAGAGCATGTGACAAATGGGCAATGGGACAAGCAAAGTTGGGAATAAAACCACATTGTGCAAAAGCTCTTCTTAATCAACTTATTATTGACGCCAAAATTCAAAATGAAAACTTTGAAGGCCCTCCTCAAATGGCACAAAAGTTGGATATCGTTAGACCACCTGCTGTAGGTGGCTTGCATGTAGCGGAAAAACTTTCGTTAAAACGAAAACGATAAGATTTTTCATGTACAGCTGTAAAAAATGTGCTGATTAATAAATTTCTAACTCTTATAAGAATAGAAATGTATATACGAGTAGCTGATTTTTCGAACGTTCACGTGTACAACAAACAAATCCAAGGAATCTTAGATAGAAGACTCTATCCTTTAATCTTGTAAATATGACTAGAAGAAAGGTCCTTTTTTCTCATTAGCTGAATTTTCTTATTTAAGAAGTACATAGGAATAATGAAAAAGTACGTAATTGAGAGATAATAAATATTTGCATTTTATTCCGAGTCCGAAGATAATATTTGCACTCTACGAAACACACCCCTAACAGGTTCATCATTCTCAGGATGTCGTATTTCCATTGGTCTATATTTCCAAAACAAGAAAAGAAATTTTTTTTAAAAAAAAACACAATGAAGATGTAAAAAGTAACACAAGTTCAACAGCACATATATAGTTAGCAGTTCAAAAACAAATCCTAATAAACTTGTTACATTAAGGATTGTGATTTCACATACAGAGTCAAGATATCAAGTGAAAAAAAAAACTCACGTTACTGTGATCATAATAACAGAGGCAAAATAAACAAAACTATGAAAGAATCTTATTTTTATTATGAAACTCCAAGTGTAGTTGTTAAGAATCTGAATATTCATAAAGATTAAAAATTGTGCCAAAGTGTTGCGTAAAATGTGGAAATGTAATCAGAAGGAAATAATGGAAACAGAATTAAGTTTGAGAGTTAGGATCAATGGAGATAAAGCACAGGGTAAACGCTTTGGAATGTTGGAAGTTAAGACCACGGTAGAGGAAATCACATAAGTTCATTTTGTATACACAACTCTGGCTTGTCTAGATTTATAATGAAATTCCAGCAACACTGACAAAAGCTCATTGTTCTGGGCTAGTGAAGAACAGGCAAAGTTATCCGCTTAAGTGTTCCAGAATATAACAGGAAAGTTTCATGTATTATATGATCACTCATCGAGCGAAACAATTAAGCAACTTTCACTTGTAGAGTGTATCAGTTAAGCCAGGGGACAAAAAATATCAATATTAAGATTTAGTTCTAATGAGTTAGTGAGATAATCATCAGGATGATTTAATATCTTTTTAAGCGTACAATAATTTTTACTGGTAAAAAGGCGTACGAATTTAAAATTAATTATATCCGAAACGCGAAATAAAGCCAATTAATTTCAAAAATACGTAGTAGATTCACTATTATCCAGTCTGCGGTTTTTCACTAGAAAGCTGTCACCAATCACTGGTTTAAATATGTACAGTCTGTTTAGAGTAATACACTGAAGGATAAATGATGCGGACACAAAACCATATAATTGGAATACTTACGACTCTGAATGATAAGTATCAAGACCATCTTCATTTTCATCATCTGAGGATAATAGACGCCTTCTCTTTTGAACTGGCATTTTCGGAGACCTTTGTGAAATATAGAGTAAATATAATAGAAAAATGTTGTATATGAATACTAGCGTAAGCATATCCGAGAATAGAGTTCTAACATGTAGCAGAATAAGGGTTAGAATCAAACTCTGGCAGTCAGTGCTTATTTTAAACATGAAACCAATATTTGGTAATTGACGCTATATCTGGTTAACGTTTCGTTCCATAAGTAGATACTAATGAATACCAACTTGCGATGCGACTTCAAATAAGCGATTACCATTATCACTCTCAAATGTAGAGAAATTATTACTAGATTTAATATCAGCAATTGAATCAGGAAGAAGTCGTTCACCATAGGACTGTCAGGACCATAGGTGTAGAAACCATATATAATAGTTGAGTTCGGTATTAACCAATACACATTTTATTTTAGTTCCACGAAGCGATGTTTACTCTTGTTCATGTACTAGAGAAGCACTTTCTTGCTTTTATCTGTTTAGAATTTCTAGAATTACGATGGTCAATCAGCTACAACGTAAAACCAGGCACATATGTACATCGGTTCAGATTGCCATACCTCATTAGCACAGCAAGATGAACACCGGATTCATAGAAGTAGTTAATCCAGTGGTGGTAATATATAAAAGAAAGACTGCATATAAGGACATAATAGAGGAAGAATGAATTAGTACGTAGATAGAAATATATAAAGCAATTTTAATCTCTTAGTTTAAGGGAAGACAGGGAGTGTATACACCGACGCCATTGTGATCGATTCTGAGCCATGTCACCAAGAGTCTCCAACCATTGGTTACGATAGTCACGCAGACCCCAACCAAGTAGTCTGCATCTACCAACATGGCTCAGACTGGAGGTTAGTGTCTTCAAGCACTGATGCCACGTTTTGGTTTGGCCGCCCCTAATTTTCTTCCAACTATCTCTAACACCGGTTAGCATTGTACGTCGTTGTAATCGGTGTTCAGGCATACGTAACACGTGACCCAATCATCTCAGTAGATGAAGATTAACAACCTCATCAACTGATTTACCATCATTCCCTAATAGCCTACGTCTAACCTCACTATTACTTACCCGGTGATCCCAGCAGATGCGAGCAATATTTCTGAGGCATCTGTGGTCAAATACTAATAGCTTACGAGTGTCTTCTACTCTTAAAGGCCATGTTTCGCAGCCGTAAAGTAAAACACAACGAACGAGCTTTTGGAATTCGTGCTGAGATTCCGTCAGACACCAACCCATTAGGGCTGATCAGACTTCCAAGACAAGTGAAGTTGTCAACGAGTTCGACTGTCTCACTCCCTATCCTTAGTTCAGGTGTTGACGCAGGCCAGTCCTGAAGCAACAACTTGCATTTAGAGGGGGAGAAGCGCATCCCACGATGGTCATTTCACAGATACTTAGAAAGCTTAAATGTAAGTACAGGGAAAGTCCTGTGTATAACAGTGAAATTATGGAAGAAAAACTATAAAAATAACTATCAAGGGATGCCTTTTCAACGTTTTCCTTACTTACATGAAAAACAATCAGTATTGTTAATTATTCCAGCAACTGATTTTTTTCAAGCGTCACGTTCATACCAGCTTTGGAGTGGGATAATGAATTAGAGATAAAAGAAACTCAACTGAATACCTAAGGAAGTTCTACGCAGTCTACTACTTATGAGTAAACGTCTACGCAAATTTATGGACATCATATCCCAGTTTACACACTGCCTAATTTTTAATAATTTTTTCATAATGGAATTTTATATACATAAAAAGAAATAGCCACTATGATACTTTTGAACACCATATAACTATATGTACATGATATAGTGTTATTAGACCTATTTTTACCCTGATTCTGAGTTTGGAGAAACTGCTCCACAGGTATAATCATCTTGAGTATGATTCACATAGGTAATGTGATCCACTTGATCAGATGGTCTATTTGATTCAACTAACTGATTAATATATTCAGGACTGGTATTTTCATCTGTGTTATGTTTTGAATCTGAGTTGTGTGAAGTATTTGCTTCTTTTTCTTCTTCTTCATATGATGAATTCATGGATCGTTCGTCATCTGACGTTGATGAAAATTTTTTCTTGCAACTCTTGCTTTTCTTTAGTTCTTTTGAAACATCCATATCCACGTTTTGTACTTTTGTACGTTTCCTTTTATAGACAGCTGTTTTAAGTTGATTCTCATTATCCACTAGATCAAGTTCAAGAATTTAAGCAGCTACTACACGTCTGGCACGAATAGGTGGAATATATTTGTCTGACCGATTTTCATCCATAATTAATTCTTGTTCCAAACAACGTTGAACAGCTAAATCATGGTCTACCTTTCTTTCATTCATGATTTCAGTTAGCATATCTATAAGTAGACGTAAACAACATATCATAAAACACAACAACAGTTACGAATGGACAATTAATTTTATCTACAATTAATATTAGAAGTATACATTTTATTTTGGTAAAAACTTTATAGCGACCTTAAAATGAAAAGTACCATGAGTGAAAAACACTATAAATGTAAGTTTAAAAACTGCATACATGATATGGATTCTTACTTTTTGAACCTTTGTGTAACTCGACTATGTCTCTTAGTCGAGCTATCTCCTGTTCAGTCCATTCACTGGATTCTCCATTGTTGAGTAAACATCGATTTCGTCCGCTAAGAGGTTCAGGGGGACGAACTCTAAAATGTTTATCAATAATGAATTTTATGGTTTGCATTATACGGAATTCAAAGATGTTGAACTTATACATAGAAATTTTAATATTTTATAAACCAAATTCCTTAAAAACAATAGTACTGAATGTATAAAAAATTCGATTGGTTGCCTATTTGCACCCAAACATATTAGAGCATAATCATTTGTGTGAAAATTTTTTAAAGATAACTTATCAGTCTAATAAAAAAGCTACCTTACTCAATATACACGAATAATTCATTTAATTCTGAAATTCGATCTACGTTTACAATTTTAATGATCAGCCATTCTCTCACCTACGTCGAGAATTTTCCATTTTTACATTCATTGGAAACCTCACTACTGGTTCATATAATGCAATCTAATATTTATGCAAAAGGGAAGTTAGTAAGATCTTTCCTACCCGACTATCTACCGAATTAAATGATTTAATCGAAGCCGCTTCTACTTGTATGTTCACTCAATCCATAAACAACACTATTGTAATTTTAAGTTACTTAGAAATGTATGTAAACAGTAGTGTTCTTTCTTAATGTCAATTCTTTGTAACCATAGGCCTAGTACTGCCTTCTGATATTCAACAGTGCAATGAAATACAAGGTTTTAAGAGTACCCATTAAATTTATTTGTGTATTATTATAAAAAAATCGCACCTGTTGTCCTCATAATCCCGCCGAACATTTTATAACTCGTTACTAATACTTTTACAAATGACACTAAATTTAGAGACATACTGTTAACTGAATCAAAGTTGTTTAATCAGTGTTGACTTTATATATTCCATTGTAAAACCTGAATAACTAATGTAAAGACATGATAGAGTTAACGGAGGATGTTGATGCTGTTTGTGGGGTTCGAACATGCCTAGTTTTATAGTCTAAAACATTACCACTGAACTATTCGGGCGGTGACTGATCTCATGTACGACTGTGATATTTACAATTAATTGATCACTGAGTGGTGACCAATATCATGTTCGTCTAGTGTCTCTTAGTGTTGATGAAATATGCATGGAGTATTAGGTTGTTATTTGCTCAGAATAAAATAACAATAAGAATATTTTAGAGAAAAAATATATAAATTAACTAACATAATTTCTTTGAGTTGTTTCGCTGATGTAATCAAGCCCAATATAATCAATCTAGCAATAACTTGTCGACGAGTTTTACTTGGATCGGAAAAATGTTTGACTAATAGATCAGCTAAATCGTTACCTATTAAATTAGTTTTAGAAAGAGAAAAAACAGTTATTTCATTCTATCAAAAAGATGTGATTATGAGGACTTATTCATTCCACTATGATCATAGTCTTCGGTCAGTCTCCATTTATATCCCGAATCTAACTTTAATCAAGACTTTTTCCACACAGAGTAGGTACGTTGTACTGCTTTACAAATAACTAATTGTTTTTAGATTGTAACCAACTGTTGAATAGAATTCGCCAAAAAAATAAATTCTTGCTACACTCATTGTTCCTGATTTTATTAACATTATTTTTATGATAGATAGTGTTCGTATGTAGAGCCACATACAATTTCTAACCATGAAGAACAAATAACCAAGTAGGTTTGACTGAATATCTTCAGAATTGCATTACTTGTTACCAACAACACATTGGCCTAAGCGGATTATATACATTCAAATTATTATCATCTTCCTATACCATCCGATGCAAATAAAATATTCCTAATAAATTACCTAATAAAAGGAAACCTAAACATAGAATGTGAATAAGAAAATTCATTTTATTCAAAAATATTATCACGAAATAAATAACCTACCAGAAGGTACAGGATCATGACGATAAGCTTCAAATAGTTGAGTTAATTCTTTATCATGTTCACTGGTACAATGAATAGTTTTCTTACTGTAAAAAAGTTTGAATTCTTTTAAAAATGATTCGTTCACTGTAGCTGAATCATTAACGCAAACGAATAAGTGGGAATAATAAAACAAACGGAAACGATTTTATCATGTCACGAGAGAAAAATTGTTTTTTTCCCCGTGATATTGCAGACTGCATTTCTAACATAAGTTAAGGTACGAACATACATGATATATATATAGTGTTAACTTACTTGCTCTCAAAAGTACCATATCCTTGAACTGTCTCATAACTTAAGGAGTTTTAAAGAAAAGAGTTTCAATTAGAATACAGTTGTTTTTCTCCTCAGCTTCAAAGAATTTTCTTAAGATATATTTAATGAGATTTGCTAATTCCTGATAAATTATAACAGGAAAAAACATAACAAAAACCTGATAAATCAATTTGATTGTAGCATGAATGACTGACAATGTTGTGCTAATGAGGTATGGCAACTTGGACCGATGCATATATGTGCTTAATCCTAAGTTGTAGATGACTGATAAAGATGACTATACGAGACTTTAATAAACGATACATATTTTTCAATTGTCATCCTAAATAAGTATAACAAATGTCAACTAAATCAAAATAATTTTAATGAAAAAATTCCCTCAAAATGATTCATTTAGAAAAATATAGAAAAATAAACACTTTCAAAAATAACAATTCTTCTTGATGAACACAGTGCACATCAAAATATTTATGGGTAGGAAAGGTTGAACACAAGTGGCCAGTAGACAAAGAGGCCTAATAAAGTGAAATGGTTGCTTTGAATGCAAGTTCGTTTGGTCTGTCTCTGCACCGTACTGTCCGAAACAGGTACAGTTGAAAACTTAGCATATAGACAAATTGAAGAATGAAACCGATTTTAGTAGTCTAACATCATAATATCTATCAAAAAAATCATCCCATGTGAAAACAGTTAGTCGTTCAATTAAAGAAAATGTATGGGAAAGAGGATTTGTTACTTAGCCAGTTACTTGACCAGGTTGTGAACTAGAAAAGCAAACATAAAAATGCAACTGTGGAACCATTATTACTCATCACCTGTACGTTTTGACCAAGGTTGTTTATAATTATTCAAGTCTTTTATTCAAAGTTCAGCAGCTAAAGTGAGGAATGCTATATTAAATAACTGTGTTAACAACTGAATAATCATACACAATATCGAATAAGGAAATGCTTCATCGTATCGAAGCAGACAGACACCCATAATGAGTAATAAAGTTCAGTAATCAAGAACAAAATAGTATACTATGGTTAGAGAACGCATGAAAACAAGTTTGAACCCTCAACCTAATAGTCGAAATCATGTGTTAAAATCACTGAACCATAGTTCTGCTAAAAAGAGAAATGATACTTTTATGAACCTGTTGGTATTGACTATTTCGGTAACCATTGTAGCAACTGTTAAGCTTGGTTTATAACTTCTTACATTATTACTAACGTTAATTACATCAATCTATGAAATACAATTTCCCACTTTCTATAAACAAGCTGACAATAACACGGTAGTACTTTCAACCCCCAGACTCTTATCGAAATTAAATAAAATATTTCACCCATAAAACCTCAAGCATTTAATGCTACATGGAGGTGTGTGTTTTCGAGACACACAAACATACCCATATAATTTATCCTCTTAGTTATTCGAAATAAATGTTACCGTAAATGTTGGATAAAACATTGCCTAAAATGATTGTAACAAGTAATATAACAGCGAAAACACATACTGTACAAAAGTGACTTCCACATAAAATTGGTTATTATACTCACTTTAAATTCTGACGAAGTAGCTAAAGCACGATCGTGTAGAAATTTTTGAAATACTCGAAATAAGCGTAATTGAAAAAAGCAACCAGGTAATCTTTCTCGTACAGTCAATCGATGAATAGTATGTACAATCGCATGATTGACTGATTCAGGATTATTATCGTAATTCTCTAAAAGTAAACTAAATAATGTAGATAGTACTCATTAATTGGCTACACAAACGGATTATAATAATTATTTAAGAATATTAAAACACTCACGTCCAGTAAACACTGAAAATAATTATAACCAACACCTCTTTGAACTATCAAAAACAATTTTTCTTTTTTTCCTTTCAGTGACACTAGCTTGAGCTTAAATACACATAAATACGACAATCAGATACCTGTCGCATGAGTTTGTACAGATCTGTCCATCTACGTACAGTATTAGCAAGAATTTTAATTATGATTCATTGTATGTCAAACTTTTTGAATTCTAAAGCTCAACATCATCATCATTATAATCAGCCTTACTTGAATATCATATCATAACGAAATGATTGATAAACTCACTACAAAGTGTACATAAATTCTGGATGTAATTAAAAGATCACAAAAAACGTTTCTGTTTTACAATTCGACATCAGGAAACTTAAGTAATACAAATTGCTTATTTTATTACATGACTGAAACGTCCAACAGTTATTTGTTCTACATATTGATATTTATTACTATATCTCATTGACGATTCTATTTTCAATGTGTCTGGTAACAAGAAAAAAATTAGTTCACAGTCTCTAGTATTCTGTTCCTCATTCAGTAATGAATCTCAAGTATTTTTATTAAATTCTAAGTATAAAACAGTATAAAGCAGTATTGCGAGCGATAGACAAATTATATTTGATAGTTCTATAGGTAATATATTAATCAAACTTTGATTTGGATTAAATAAACAATAAATTATAACTTGTTAGTAACAATTATGATTCTATTTGTTAATTATTAGGTACGAGAATGAAGCAAATTACGTGATATCCTACTTAAAACAAACATTTTTATATAGCTGATGATATTTTGTTTAATTCAAGGAAATGGTGAAAACCTACGCGTAAGCATGTACAACACGTGGATGAATAAATTTGAGCATAAAAGCACTAAAGTCTAGAACTACTTCTTTTTCAGTAGTAACTAGTTCTTCATCATTTGCATCACTTATGCCAAGTTCTTCGTTGTAAAGGTTATCACTATCACTACTATTCGATGAAGAATTATTTAGTACCTCCTGTTCTTCTTCTTCCTCTTAAATGTATGAAGGAAATAAACGGGTTAATTTTGGATAAAAATCAAACACAGAACTAACATATTATTTATAGCAGATTAATTCTGGTATAATAGATCATCAGAAAAAATAACTACATTGATAAAGTGGTAATATTGTGAAAACAGTAAGAGAGAAGCAAGGTGTTCCATGAATAAACAGACTAGAAAGGTACAAATCATTTAGTAATACTATCAAGAAACACATTTTTATTTAAGTGAGTTTATCCCACTTGAGTAAAGAAAAAGTATGACAGGATCTCCACCCGCTTTTATTCTACACCATATCTGATAACGGTCCCAAGTCAATGAAGTTGCAGAGTTTCTAGTACCTTAACCAGATAGTCGTAATGGATCGATAGATAGCAATCCAACACAAATATCCTTCATACCATGGAGCCGTGTTGCACACCGAACACCTGTCTGTTTTTACCACCCAGTCCCAGTATGGGAAAATTATGTGTGATGTGCGAGATGCCCCAAAAGCATTCATTAAACACGATCAGGAAGTTGAAGTCAAGGTTTCAAGAACGTGACACTAATCAGAACATTATCACTAAACCGGAATACAATTACTGGACCTCGGAAGATTACCAAAAGGTGCTATTGGGCATGACAAAGCTACGGAGGCAACGATGATCGACAACAGACTGAAAATAACGGATTGGCCTTTCACCATTTCATTGGTTTGGAGTACGCAGATTAAAAGCTTCAGTTTACTGGAAATGATTATTTGGTACGGGGTTCTTGATAAAGCAATAATGTTATTAACATTATTTTTCAGTTCATTTTCAATGTAAAACGCTATTTCAAAGATGGTTTGTGTCAATGCTTATTTTCACAATATACAATAAAGCACCTGACTGTTAATCTGTTAGGAGTTTTGTATGTCCTGAAGAGTTTAAAATTCACGGAATCTTAGTCTCTGTTGACTTATGCCACCTGCAGGACATGTAAAATCCTTCGTCTCCTCAACAAAACGATAAGAGAACTGTAAAATGAGGATTTTGAGGGGTGAAAACACGCATTCAATGCATGGTCGTGTATGGTAAATCCACAGAAGTTATACAATCTTGATAGAAGACTTGAAGTTTTAGGTAAAAATGATAAATAAGCCGATTAAAATGTGAGTTTATACTAAATGATGTGGCCGATAAGTGCTGTAAGTGTATAACCATTACTTTTTCTGGGTTGTTGTTCATGTTAGCATAGATATAGTTTTGGAAAACAAAAGGAACGACTAGACAAAGCTACGATATCAGTTCATATTAAAAAAACCGACCGCAGTTGTGCAGAATGTTCTTTATTTTCCAGTAAATTCTGAACACAGTATTACTGCATACTTATATTCGTCTTAGCTTTATATTCTATTACTGTTTGCACTATTAGTCTCGATTTTCCTACGTCCACCATCAATTTTCTCTCTGTAAAGATATGATATATAGGAACTTGAATAAACAAACGACTGTGTCACCTTGTGCATATTTATACAAAATATGCGATAAACTGTATATGGTCGAATATTTTATAGTAAGTTGGTCGCATTGTTCTAATCCTAACAAAAACATATCATTAAGGTACTTTGGTTGTAATTCAATGAACTATAGAAACAATAGAGTGAGAATAATAATATAACAAGAATTTAAAGAACTAACCTAGTTCAGTCATATGAATTTGCTGTAAAGCCCCTAATACATTCAAGCATTCAGGCCGTAATCCTGCAGCACGCCCACCAACAATCGTTGAATTATCTTCCTCAACTGAAACTGGAGCAACTTCTGGCCAAAGACGCCACATTCTCTTGGCCATTGATAAAGCAGTTTTAGCTGAGCCTGCAAATAAAGCAGCTTGAACTCGACGAATGGCCGATTTCAACTGCTGATCTTCACTGTTTCCTGTAGTTGCATCGAAGAGTCTTGTATCATTCATTTCATTATCACTTTCATCCTGTTCATTCTCTTGATATGCTGTTCCAAGTAAAATCTCTATTAAGGGACGTTCTAACTGATTAGACCATTGTTGTTCGAGACGGCTAATTCTCACAGCTTCAGGTTCATGATTTAGAATATCTCTTTTATGAGTTTCCTTTTTAGGTTTAGAGGAACGCTTTTTCCTTCGGTGAACTCTTCAACGTTTCACGATAATTTTTTTATTGCTACCGCAGATCTTGTTGGAAAGTAAAGTTATAAATAAGTGAGAACCTTCAACCAAATCACGCAAATAGTCTCTAGAGGAGAAGAAATCATGATATTTTAATAGAAATTAGCTTATCGCGAAACTTATAACAACACAGTATACTGATTGACAAGAGACTAAAATAATAGATTGATCGTTCATTATTTCATTGGTTTGAAGCACGCAAGTTATAAATTCCAGTTTACTGGATATGTTTATCCAATACAGGGTTCTTGATAGAGCAGTAACTTTTTTGATATTATATATATAACCATTTTCTCGATGGTTGCTTCCAGTTTGTCTTAAGATTTTACTGTTAGATTCACATCTAAATGGTAGGGAAATATAAACACTTCATTTTAAAGCAGAAATAAAGGTTTTGGTGTTGACTGACTTTTGCATCTGTTTAAAAGCTTTGGTGAGTAACCGTTTGATATCAATGCATCAGTCAGCAGTTTTGCATCTTCTTCAACAGTATTTGTTGTACATATTCTTTGAGTCCTGTTAAAGAGGCACTTTATCAAGCCTCGCTTGTGTTTTAATGGACAGAAACAGTGGAAATTTAAATACTGAACAGTCCAGGATGGCTTCCTATAAACGAACCGCCTTATAGCTCCATTCTTCCTTGGACTCAAAAGTTTGACTAAAAACAACAAGTGATTATTACTTTCTTCCTCATAGGTTATTACGATATTATCCTGTACCCTATTGAGTTTATTTAATAACTGAGTAACATAGAAATTTTTGTTATATATGATTAATATATCATCTACGTATCCCCTATACAGAGTTAACTCATCACATTTTTAACATATTACATAAATACATTAGCTAAGAGAGATCCCAAAGGGTTAGCCAGAGCAACATCACCAACTTGCAGATGTTCACTCTCAAGCGTGAATTGCACTTTTGCAGTTCACAATAAAAGTAGTTCTTTTAAAAGTGTTGACCGAATAGGAAAAAAGGAGGGAATTACTCGATATATAGTCACAAAGGAAACCAAGTCTTGGGTAAAGGTACATTCATAAGAAAGAGGATTTACATCAAAATGATGCATACTCTTTTCTTTAGGATTAATCTCATCACGAAGATCAGTTAGTTAAAAGGTATCTTTAAAAAAAAACTTAAATAATTTATCACGGACTGGATTTGACAATTTAGCTAACCATTTTGCTAGTTTATGTGCAGGTACATCACATATAGATAATATTAGTTTACGAATTCTAAGTAATTCATATAAATTCGGAAGTACAGAACCGTTAGGTTTTAGCACATTAAATTCCTCTTTGTTTATAACGTTTATTTTAAGGAGCTTCATTAGGTTGGAATTTACTCTGGATCCCAATTTTCTAACATTAATATTGGATAGAACGTCCGCCAGGAACTTTCATCAACAAACATAGATAACATTTTCACCTTATAGTTGCATTTATTTATAACAACCAGCCAAGGACCTTTGTCAGGTTTCAGGATCATGATATCTGGTCTACTTCGGAGGTCTTTTACATCATGAAAATACTTAAAAGTCAAGATATTCCTGTGTCTGATTTGAAAACAATGAAAATGATCGGGACTATACATAGAGACTACCTAAAATTCATAAACATTATAATACATTACGACCGCTATTATCCATGTGTGGTTCACTTACACATGAACTAGCATAATGGTTAGCTAAATTGTCAAATCCAATCCGTAGTAAATTGTGTAATTTAAGGAACACGTGCCTAGATGGCTTCAAAATCAGTTAGTGTCAAATGTTCTAATAAACGTGGGAAGTAGGAAACCATGTTCATTTGTGGCAAAACACATAATTAAAACGGGACATAGCATTAACATCAACACAGCTTTTAAAACGTCGTATAGAAATTGTTAGGGACGGATTCTTAGGTTTATAGAACTCTTGGCTGCTCGTAAATTAAAACTCCCATTATATGTACAGAAACAATTTGTCGTAACCTGGTAATCCTTATGTCATTTTATGACCTAGGGTAATGCGACAATTCCTTATTCTTTCCATACGATGTCATTTTCTCTCTCATTTATTTATAATTATCACATTATTTAAATGAACTTTCATTTAATTGACCTTCATTATTTTCATATAAAATGCCTTGACAAGTATGTGTGATCAGATTGTCCGAAATATATAGCGCAAATATATTACATTTTTCAGATCCATTCCGTCTTCTTATTGATCTATAAAAACTTAAGAAAGGGATTGATTGCTTTGCAAAAATAACTGCAGTTTGTTTTTAATCCAGTATTACTAATTAGACTGAATTTAACACTATATATGCAGCCACAAATATTCTACTCAACACGTATATATAACTTTATATACCAGATTACTGATATTACTCAGTTGAGTGAAATCTGATACGTGGATTCAAGGTAACCTGTGATAAATAAAACTAGTCAGTCCATTCTACTAAATTTAATATATGGTTACTAAACGGATCCCAAAATGACTTTGGAGACATTATCTTAATCAAGATAAAATGGATTGAACATACTTGGACATGAATATTTCATTGTAGTCCTTCAAAAGATTTGGGAATAGTTCTTGATATTCAGCAACATAAAATACATTGGCTGTAAATAAAAGCGAAAACTATGTAGTTAAAAGTAAATATGATTATAAAGTGGTCAATCATAAATAGCATAGGACCAGGCACGAATACTAATATACTATATTCATTAGCAGGCTACAACCTGACTATTGAATGCTTTGATGAGTTACAAAACTGCAAGCAATGATTGGCTTGTTTCGGACTAATCAGCGCCAATGGAGGAAACGAGATGTAAATTTAATATAAAACTCTAAAGTTTTTAATATCGTATCTTTGTTGATCGAGTTTATTGAACATATATTATTCCTTCTCAGTTCTTGTTCCGATTTAGGAAAAACTATTGAAGTATGGTGTCCAAGGAATACTAGGTACTAGAACGTAAAAGCATTACATGCAAAAAAGAAACCGTGACTAGTGGAGTGCAAGACAGTTACCAACAGAAGACAATGGAAGATGGTCGCGCAACATCGTGGATTGATTGAAGCTAGACATTAAAACTGTTGGATACCAGTTCAGTGGTCCAGAGGTTAGGCGTTAGCACGCGAGACCGAAAGTCCTGGGTTTGAATCCGGCGTGCGAGGTCATGGATGCGCACTGCTCAGGAGTCCCATACTAGAACAAGACGGTCGTCCAGTGTTTCAAGGTTTTCAATCATGATCTAATATTTGTCGATTTATGATTTCAACAAAAGCTCAAAAATCTCCACAACCCTATTCTGAAAAATAAACATGATTAGACTGGGAATTAAGCGTGAAATATAAGCAAAATGCAGTAGGTTCCATCAAAAATTCTATTAACTATTGATTCGTAGTTTTAGACTAGTTAGGAAACAGAAACAAATTTTAAATAAAGTAATGTTTAGTAACAAATGACCGAGTTGAAGCAATGTTTAAAAGAATACTATTTAATACATTATTTTTATCTAATCGGAGGATCACATCTTTATTTTTTTTGTCCATTGAAGTAGCATTTAGTAAGAAGTATGGGAAAATAAACCGTAATTAATGGTCGGGTCAAATTTTTAAGCACCAACTGAAAACCAAGTAAATAGCATGAATCCAAATTTATTAGGACCAACAAACAATTCCGGTCAAGTATTTCATTATGAAAACAATATTACTAAATGCCAACGGGAAGTTTGTGAAAGTTGGAGGAGTCAACTAACAACCTATTACAAATATTTTGAGTACTAGACGTTTTTCATAGAAAGTCTATACTTGACTTTGGATGATTTTTCAATCTAAACCAATTGTCAGGAAAACGCTGACAAGAAAACACATCTATAGGTCGTATTCCTTGCTACTAATGACATTGAAAAAAGTTAATTAGACAAGAATGTCTAGCCCAATAAATTTTACCCTTTCATTCAACGACGATAGAAACTATGTCTTCTTTATACAATGGAAAATTCATCATCATTTCCCAGCTTCGCATTTAAGAGGCAGTTCAACAATAAGTATAGCTTCTAAAATTGTGCACATTTAGTCAATTAACAATTCATACGGGGAAAGAGTTGAAAAATTTACAAGACGTCCTCTGTTTTATTTTTTAATACACAACAATCGATTCTAAATCCCTTATAACACCTTTTTGTTTTTATTTCACTAATTTATATTTTCTCGAATCGTATCTTCGATGCCTAATCGTTTCCATTATCATTGATACTGTTACTTCCTTTATTACTCTGGGATTTGGCTTAACAATTTCATTTCTCTGTGCTAAGAAGGTGTGGCGACTTGAACCGATGTACATACGTACCAGGTTTTAAGTTGTGACTAAAACAACAATCGATACCCATCATTATGCCAGTTCCACTGTTTTAAAGTCAGTTATACACATAGAATAATAAAGGTGCATGAAGCGAATTTCAAAAGAGGTATGGAAAAACACCCTAAACTCTGCACATTTGACTTCCATTAATCTTTAATTACCAAATGATAACTTGAGCCACTACATATTGTTAGCCAGTTTTCAGCTGATTGAATGAACTAATACTGAATTCACTAGGATATATAAATCATATAAAAAATAATCTTAAAAAGCAGTGACTGAGATGCGACTTAAACTGGATTATGGATTGATGAGATTGTGTCAACTATGCTTTAAAACTATAATCAGCCAGAAACGAACGAATAGTTGTTGTACCTAAGAATGTACGCAAAGAATACACATTTATAATACTTTCTGATCATTTCTAAATCGAAAATGTACAATAAATGGCAGCTTCTATACAAAGTTTGTATATTCGCTAAACGTTAAACTTTGTGTAGAGGCCTCTTCAAAATTCGAGACTAACATTTTTCTAAATGTGAATATTTTGTTTTCAGTTTCTGTTTAGGATTGGTTTTAACTAATTAAATATGACTGCTAAACAAGTATACTTATGGGCTTTCACAAAATATTTACAGCTTGTCGCGAATCTAATCGCTGATAAACTAAAGAAGTACCACCATGAAGGTTCGTATATCTCCTTTCTCTTCTGTCCCTTGGACAAACGAGAGACGATTACTATAAAATTCATATACGACTGGTAGTAAGCACTTGAGGATGAATGTATAGGCCAGTTAGTCACTGTTTAACTGTTAGAAAGTTAAATGTTGATAACGCAGAAATGTTGTAGGAATACTGCATATTTCATGATGGGATCTTATTACATTCAAACGTATAGTATTCACCAAAGCAATTCTTGCTATTATTAAATCATAAAATGATACGGGACAGTAATAAATATCGATCAACTCATTAGATAAATGTAGCATGATTCATTATGTACCAAAAATCGACTCAGCAACATTAGCTTGTGAACGTAATCGTTCTTCAACACCATCTTGTGTTTCATCGTCACCTGGTTGAAGAGTCTTATCTGCTCCAGTTACATGAAGCATACGATTTAGGCAAGTGAGAAATTCTTTATAACAGGCTACAGCAAGTTCTAAACGTCGAGCTGCTTGGATTGCACGTTGATTTGAAGCGCCACCACGTTTATCGGTTACTAAATGTTCTTTATAATTTATTACTTGATCATATATCCAATGAAAAATTGGCACACTGAGAGTTTCACTAGGGGAACAACAACTGTATTTGTTAACAGAAAAAAAGTGTAAGCAACGAGAAAGTTATTTCAATTAACTGTTGATACTTATTAAAATACAACGCGTTATACGAAAAGAAAAAAAACACTCTAAAGAATGGAACATAGAAATAGGAAGTGATTAAATACTTTACTCATGAACAAAATACAAAACAATACAGGAATTACTTAAATATTGACAAGATATTATATCTTTAATAAGTAAAATAAGAAAATATTAGCAAACAATTAATTAAGAATACTTATGGGGTTTATCAGTTGATAACTTGTAAGGTCGGATGATTATAATCAGTTTGAAGATATCTGAATCGGTTATAACCTAACGATAAGTATTGAACATGTATCAAGAAGTACTCCTTTCAATGGATAACCATCACCGATTCATTTCACACACATCAAATCGAATAAAACGAAGATAATAATAACGAACATAATAATATATGGATCTTCAAATATTAAGGTGTTCATAATGTTAATTTCCATATAAAAATGTATTTAAGAACAAATTTTTTTATTATCGTGACAAGAATGAAAAGGCAATATTATTTTACTTGCATGCTTTAATGATCCAACCAGTATACGACTACATGTGTTACTATTCGTTGTCGGATGTTTTGAGAAGTCTTGAGTTTCGAACTTGCTGAAATTAATCACATAGGTGTATCTACAGCCTCCAAGAAACAGGTAATTCAAAAATGTTTAAACAAGCGTTGTGTAATACTGAATTTGGAGAAAACACTAGTGAATCCCTTTGTACAATGAGGTTCGGTAATAATAATGACCACACCTCAAACTTGGCTAATATGACTTCATTAGAACTAGGAACGTAACACTGACCATTATTTAGTTATCGACTAGTGTTGGTCTTTTTCCTATCTGAAAACAATCTAGTTTTATAAGTAACAAACTGGTGTGTCGCTAAAACAATCATAAGTCAAAATATAATCAGCTACAGAACATTACTAAAACATTTAACTTCATAAAACTATTTAGATTATCTAGTGAATTATTAACATTTCAACAAGTTGTAAAACAATATATACCTTATATAGTCTGAGCGAAATCGATAAACTCGACAAAATGCCATACAGAATCGCATTGTCCAAAGGAAATAAGTTTCATCATTCTGCTGGGTAGCTTGACGAGTTAAACGTGACTGTACAACACGCATGATTGGATTAGAGCAGAACTTTAAAAATTGCCAACAGAAACCCTAAATTTTTTGTAAATTATATAAAAATTAAAATTGCCAAATTATAAGATAGAAATTATTATGATCGATTTACAATACAATGTAAGGATATTGGCAAATGGAGTAACACTCAAAATCGTTACTTTTTGATTGGAAGTGGGTTTCTTGAAGTAATGAACAACTTTACAGATCAATAACCTACTGTAGCACAAGTTTTAAAAGTGATGTGACAAATAAAACATGTTTTTCATTGTTGAAGCAGTAATAATGGAGCGCGTATATTCTATCATGATCAGGTTACGCAAGTAGGTACATAAACAATGAGCCTTAATTTAAACTGTTCGAGAAACTATAAAATGGCTACGTTATTTTAGTCTAAGTGGAATGATTACCAACAGTACAAGTAAAACAGGGGAGTAAGAACCAGAGTTTGAACATATTTCTACACCACAAACAACACAACACAGCAAACGTTGTCAGCGAACAAATGAACAACAATCAGTGACACCTCTGGCTGACGGAAAATATAAAACAGAAATTTATGAGTAGAGCGAAAAAGATATATTGAAAGTAAACATTGATTTGAGTTTATTACTTGTAAACATAAATAATATGATCGAATAACGTATTGTAAAATCAATACCTGCAGATATAACTGGACAGCCTAAATTGAACGCCGGTGTATTGGTCGGTCAACTAAAGGTTTACGATGTTTAGGCTTACGGAACTTTCGCTTTCCTACATCTAATTCAACGATGCCGACATTATCCACCACATCTACAGAACTGTCCAACTGTTTCGAAATTACAGTTGTTATTTGAGCTTTATGGGTAATATCATGATGGTAAATCATTGGACGTTCGCTCAAAGATGGTGTATTTACCAATTCAAAAGCACCACCAAATCGTGCTTGACTATATAAATAAAATAAAATTGTAGAGTCATCATAACTACGTATATATTTCAAAATAAAACAAACCAATCTATGATTATTTATACTGTAAAATCTTTCCAAAATTAACACTATCTACAGAAAGTTATCAGCTTATTTAGTTAGTTTATGGACATTTTATTTTCACGTTAAGTGTCTAACAGTTGATTTAGTTGACCATTCTAGTGGTGATATTTCTACAGTTAAATATCAAAGAACGCTTCGTAAATGTCATGATTAACAGTTATGTTTTATTGCTGACCAACATATAATGTTTTGTAACGGTGGTTTAGTGGTTGAGGAGATCGACTCTCACCCACTCAGTCTCTTGTCCAGACCCCGCCTCACCTACTTTGGTTTGGGCGCCTCAGTAGTATCATTAGCCATCATACTGAAAGTGTGGCTTATACCCAAGTACCTAGAGAATGAGTTAGTATAATTTTGTTTCATTGTCAGGTTTTATAATACTCTTTGCATTTGTATTGAGACTTAATGGCCTTTGTTTGGTAATAAAATCAATTATTTAGTATGTTGAGTCACTTGAAGATAGTAGTAGTTTATACTAGTTGAATGTATGAAATTACAGTTGATTTCATAGAGAGCATTGTTTGGTAACTGTAATTATTTTTAAAAATGTAGTGACTAGTTTACGATATGGTTCAATAAAATAAAGATTCATGTATCGTAATAAAAATGAAGTTCACTTTTACCTAGTCTTTCTTCATATAAACAGATATTCAGTCAAAACTATAATATACATATGGCTGTGAAGTGTATTTACAATTGAATGTTATAAAATACACATTTTGTTTCATCTATACGAGCTCATTACGAAATCTAGTTCAGATAGAAATGAATAACTGTAAACAATTTTTAATGCTGATCGTCACAAGAGAAATCTTATCTTGTGAAGTGGTGTTTGAGAAACATAAATACTTGAATGTCAATCGCCAAGTTGCTTCAAACCAAGCTCATTTGATATGGTTTGGATACCGAAAACTTCTAGACTTTATATAAAAGATCTAGCTTAATATCTGATAAAAAAACCTGTATGTGGTTTCTGAACTGTTCTATGACTGATTTAGTCTTTGATTCTATGTTATTATCTTATTCAATAAAGATAATGAACGATATAAACAAAATTTAGTGAGTTTTATAACGAAAGACTAAATACAATACCAAACATCACAAAACAGAAAAGTCATAGTGCCGTTGTTTATCACTTGAAATAAATCTACATCAATAACATCGAATCACTCACCTTAGGTTACAGGCGTAAAGAAAATTCTTTCGTTCCATATCATCTCGAATTTTCAATCCTTCAATAAGTCTACATCATTGTTTTCTATTAAAAATAACTGAAACATACTTTCTCCGAGTGTTTAACTCAGATTTAGTTTCTGCTCTATTTCCAACACAGACAAGTAGCTCAGGTGTCTGTGGAAATGAAGAGCAATATTTGGATGAATTATCTGATTCTTGAATCAAAATAAATTGTATACAAACGGTAGCTATACTTACAAGCTACAAAAAAAGATTACGCATAGAAAGACCGTGAATACAGGACAAAGATGAGGCTAGTTAGCACCTTGAACAAGAAAATGAGAAGTAATAGTGCTAGATTTCATTTCTGAATTGGTCAAACATTTATTTAAAAAATCATAACATTTCCCCGTTATAATACTTGAGCAAAATTTAAAGAATAAAATATTTGATCTTTCATGATGTAGACATCCACAAATTTCTTGTTAGATCTCCCTTTAGAAGCTATGGAATAATAACTTAGACGTTTGATAATAAAAGGAAAAGTTGACAAGTTCTAATAAATATTGGCCTTTTTAAAATTCGGTTGATATGATGTAACACTTTTTATACAGGTTTCCATATCTAGTCAACAATAAAATATTCATTTATTCATCAATTAACAAAACCTTCATCCAGAAATAGGCAAAAGAAAACTGTTGTATTGAGGATTTTCTTTGTGGACACTTGATTCAAGTTTATCCTGAGAGGTTTTATCGTCCATAGTACATATTAGAATCATATGGATACAAACATAATTTCTTTAAAAAAAAGAAAAGCTTTTTCTGTGACTGATATTGAGTTGCCAGATAGAGTAAAACTAACCTGTTCCCTTAACATCAGTGACATGATTTCAAGAGTATGAAAAGCGAACATTTGTTCATCATCTGGATTTGCAAGAAACAAAAGTAGTTCATCCCACCCAGATAAATGCATTGCCCATAAAATCTGGTCATGTACAGAAATATCCTCGTCCGTACGCTGAAGCAAATTTGTCTTAACATGACAAAGTCAATTACCTGCTCGCCAACAACATCAGGAGCAATATGAAGTACATTACGCATTAAAATCAAAATACGCTCAATGAGAAGACGATCTTCTTCACTCCTTTCCTCCCAGCTCTAAAAATAATATAAAAGGTATGAAGTAAGTAGTTAAAGAGTATTAAACTGAATAAAGAGGTAGTCATATATTAGACACAAAATTATAAATCGTTTATTACAAGTTCAAAACCAGTGCTTAAAGACTAGGCGATATGACCTGAAAATCAGTCCCAATAGAGTAGATGGATTTACTTCCGACATTCACTTGAATCTCTTATAGTTTCCCAATAATCAACACATACTTTAAAGATAAAGATGACCAAATGTTTAAAACATGTGCACGTTCTAAGTCTTGAAGATCAATGCTTACATCCGTAAAAATAATAGGAAGCGAATTATTGCGGAACATGATCAAGTGTGTTTATCTATTCTGATGAACTCATTTGGTCAGTCATCATATGAAAAGAAGATACGCTTGTGTGTTTAACCACAAGTAAAGCAAATCACAAAGGTCTTTGAATTTGTTTATGAGGAATGAGCAATTTATTTGATAGCTATTTGGTCTAACTCAGCATAGAACCTGACACGTATGTACATCGGTTCCAGTTACCATACCCCATTAGGACAGCGAGATGAAATTGTCAAGGCAAATCCCAGAGTAGCGAAGGTGGTAACAGAAGACACTAAGCATCGAAAGTAAGATCTAAAAAACATAAATTAGTTAAATAGAAACATTATAAGGAATTTATAAACTTGGAGTCTAGGGGAAGGCTAAGTATGGACGCATTTACGCTATAACGAAATATTCTGAGCCACATCACCCACTGGTTCAGACAATCACGCGGACCCCAACCAGGTAGTCTACATCTGTGCATTTCACATACAATTTACTCATTTTCTTATGGTATCCGTTTTAAAACCAAACTCACATATACACGACTATAATTCTATAACGTATCTAACAGGATTACGAGGTTGATTATATCATTGTACGAGATGTGTGGAACAAGGCTCGAACTTCCCACTAATGACTGAGAATCGATTTATTAACCCACTGAGCTCCCGAATAGTAATAAATAATCAATTCATGCAATACGATCAGTGCAACCTTGTAAACTGGTTTAGGGAAGTTAACATTTTTTGTTCCGTGATCTCCCCTCTCTCTCTCTCTCTCTCTCTCTCTCTCTCTCTCTCTCTCTCTCTCTATCTATCTATCTATCTATCTATCTATCTATCTATCTATCTATCTATCTATCTATCTATCTATCTATCTATCTATCTATCTATCTATCTATCTATCTATCTATCTATCTATCTATCTATCTATCTATCTATCTATCTATCTATCTATCTATCTATCTATCTATCTATCTATCTATCTATCTATCTATCTATCTATCTATCTATCTATCTATCTATCTATCTATCTATCTATCTATCTATCTATCTATCTATCTATCTATCTATCTATCTATCTATCTATCTATCTATCTATCTATCTATCTATCTATCTATCTATCTATCTATCTATCTATCTATCTATCTATCTATCTATCTATCTATCTATCTATCTATCTATCTATCTATCTATCTATCTATCTATCTATCTATCTATCTATCTATCTATCTATCTATCTATCTATCTATCTATCTATCTATCTATCTATCTATCTATCTATCTATCTATCTATCTATCTATCTATCTATCTATCTATCTATCTATCTATCTATCTATCTATCTATCTATCTATCTATCTATCTATCTATCTATCTATCTATCTATCTATCTATCTATCTATCTATCTATCTATCTATCTATCTATCTATCTATCTATCTATCTATCTATCTATCTATCTATCTATCTATCTATCTATCTATCTATCTATCTATCTATCTATCTATCTATCTATCTATCTATCTATCTATCTATCTATATATATATATATATATATATATATATATATATATATATATATATATATATATATAACCCGAAATATCATTTCAATTATTGGTGAAAATTCAGTTAATTGAAAAGTTTGCGCATGAATAGTAACTAACAAACACAAAGTGCAACTTACTCTATCTAATAAACTGCCTACCACATTACACAGGACCCGAAACAATTCTTCATCTGCAAAGTCCTAAGGTTTTATCCATGTACATTTAATACTACCCACTTTTTTGTATGACTTTAGTAAATCATCAACTTGAAGATAAGCACTGTAAAGATCACGATCCTTTGGTATCTCTTGACGAAAACATACAATTGCAGGTTGAGTCAAATTCATAAGAAGACGAATGACCAGTTCAAATAATATTTTATTGCCGCTACAACAACGGAGAAGCGGTATGAGATCACTGGAAACAATGCGGAGTTGACCAAGTTCCCGTCGTATATCACATTCAGCAGTTTCATTTCGTAAGTAACGCAATAAAGTGCGAATGGAAACTATAACTGAATTCAATATCTTTCATAAATACCTTCTGCATCAGTATCTATCTTGTATGTATCGCCCTCACGAAATCCAAGACAAGAGCAACAGGCTTGAATATCCGCATAACGAAGAGTAGGATCAGCCAACATTACATAAAATCAAAAGCCAACCAAATCTAACAAAGTGGGGTTAGTGTTCGTCTTGTGATATAAAATATGGATTGCCCATAAATACACTGATATTAAACTACACCAATACCTGTGACCAACTTAACCACGAAAGCCTGAAACAAAGTAGCTAACCTGAAACGAGAGTTTTCAAAATAAACCAGCTTGATACATTAAGTATGTGTAGGATCAGTGAGAGTATCAGCAACATGCAATTATAACCAAAGTGTATTTGAAAAGCTTTTTAAGTGCAAGCCGAACAATGACAAATATAATGGGAAGAGATAAGATGATTTGCAGTTCATAGGAGTTTGTGAGGTAACTAGAGAATAGCTTGAAAAACCTATCAGTAATTAATACTATGAGGATAGACAAACAAACGAATACTGCTACTTTTCTTCGGAATAAACTAAGAACCTCATTACCGGATACTTTCGGAGAAGCAGCACGGTTTCAGAATAGGTTACTCTTGTCTCACTAACTTATTAGTGGCTCGTGAAAACTGGTGCGCTCTTAAGGACCAAAAGTTACCTGTAGACGTAGCCTTCGTTGATTTCAGCAAAGCTTTTGACAAGGTTCCGCACAACCGGCTGTTATATAAGTTAAGAAATGTCGGGATTGGAGGCAATCTATTTATGTGGATAAAAGACTTCTTAGTTGGGCGTCAACAAAGAGTAAGGGTGAACTCAAAGTTATCTAGCTGGGAAACTGTGCTTAGTGGAGTGCCCCAGGGTACAGTTTTGGGGCCAGTGCTATTCCTCTTGTATGTAAATGACCTTCCTCGTCTCCTATCATAATCGGTCTTGCTATATGCTGACGATGTCAAGATATGGAGAACGATACGATGTGAGGGTGATAGCTTAGAACTCCAAAGTGGCCCGATCGAAGCTGCTACCTTGACGCGGTGGTCGGGCTTGCCTATCGTGATGACCCAACCGAGCAATATTGGCTGGAACATACGTTTCTGCAGGTTCTACCATGCCAGGCAGGTCGATTGGTGAACGGTAAGACTAAAAGCAGCAACTCATGGTCTGAGGGCGAAGTCGTACTGCTGACTGTAGAGAGGTGTGACAGCAGTAAGGTGTTTCCCTCGGACAACCAGCATGACAGCGATGCTGCCTTCCCACAAGGAGGGGTGGGGTTAGAAAAGGTCGACTCTAAAAATGTCACACCTCACCTTACCTCACGGATTTCCGTCTCCGGCGGTAAGGCCCTTTGAAGAACGGAGCTAACACGTCAAAAACCTCCCACGAAAAGGCCGTGCGCGACCGGCCTCAAGCAGTTGTCCCTTGGGCTCTGCGGTCACGCTCCCAGGTCGTCAAGACCAACACTAATCCAATTTCCTTTTCAGGTTCCTCAAGAAATACCCTTCCACGGTGTGGGCAGCCGGGAAGTGACATCAGCCCTCATACCCGTAACAGCAGAAGAGACCAAGGTGGTCACATTCAAATCCTTCCTACACCTCCTAATACCTCTCTTATCTCCCCGACTAACCCTCCTCACGTCTCTTTATCACTTCGCACCGCTAGGGCAAACGATTCGAGTATGTGGAACGCCATTCCTAGTCTCCTGAAACCACGCTCTAAACTACACGTAGGAGCTTTTAACGTACGAACACTTTGCCAAATAGGACAGCAGGCTTCCTTAGCTAAAACTTTAGAATCTCGCGCCATCGATGTGTGCTGCGTCTCCGAAACGCGCATACAGGATCCAAGTAGCGTCATTCATTTGACCTCACCATGCCAAAATAAAGAACCGACTCGATTTACGCTTCGTGTATCTGGAAGTCCTGATGCTGCTTCCCGTGGCCTCGCCGGCGTAGGTATAGCATTGAGTCCTAGGGCAGAACTAGCTCTCTTAGAGTGGATCCCAGTAGACAGTCGTTTGTGCGCTGTCCGACTGAACGGAACAGTAAGAATCCGGAAAGATAGGGACACTCGTCGTTGCCTCTTCGTCGTCTCTGCGTATTCTCCCACTGACTGCAGCTCAGATGATGCAAAAGATGAGTTTTACAGAAAGCTTTCGGACCTTCTCCGAAAAGCTAAGCGCTCGGATGTAGTAATAGTGGCCGGTGACTTTAATGTTCAAGTAGGTAAACTAAGCGAAAGGGAAAGACACCTAGGTGGATCTTATGGTGTCGTGGCTCAAAGAACAGATAATGGCGACCGTCTGTTGCAGCTATGCTCAGATAACCGCCTGTTCCTTGCAAATACTAACTTTAAGCATAAGGAAAAACATCTTTTAACATGGCGACCCCCTAATTCGTCCCAACGTTGGACCCAAATAGATCACATCGCTATCAGCCACCGATGGAGGGGCTCGATAGAAGACTGTCGCTCATTCTGGAGCACATGCCTAGATTCAGATCATGCTCTAGTGCGAGCGCGTATTTGCTTGCGTCTTACTGGACGTAGGAAAGACGCTGCAAGGAAACCTCTTAGGGGCCTACTTAATGATAGTCAAGCTAAGAGTATATTTCAGGAACTAGGAAAACAGTTAGGCAGCCATGTATGTAATGCCCACCCCGATGCAGCATGGAATGATATCCGAAAATCTGTGGAAACAGCAGTGATATCTACTAGTAAGGTAAACCAGAAGCTTAGGGAGCAACACTGGATCTCAGCAGCATCTATCTCACTGATAGATGCTCGGAAACTCATTCCACCTGGCTCTGAACATGATGAAGAGCGGAGTCAGCTTAAGCGCAAGCTGACAAGAAGTCTACGCAATGATCGCGAACAGTGGTGGGTAGCGAAAGCAAGAGAGATGGAAAAGGCAGCGGCAATAGGTAATAGCAAACAATTGTCCAGACTCGTTAAGGAAACCGGAATTAGGAACCCGACCGTTAGCGAAACAATCTCAGAGAAAGATGGACATATTATTCATTCTCAATCCAGGAGATTGGATCGATGGGCAGAACACTTTAGGGATCAGTTCAACTGGCCTTCAGCCACACTTCGGTTCCCCACGATCTCTAGTCAACCTGAATGGCAAGTTAATGTAGGTCCTCCGTCCCTTTACGAAGTTGAAAAAAGCCATAGGAAATCTGAAACGAGGGAGAGCAGCAGGCCCTGACAGGTTTACTCCTGAGATTTTTAAGGATGGTGGTCCAGTATTAGCAATGAGATTAACCGAGGTCTTAGGTAGAATTTGGGAACTGGACGTAATCCCATCTGACTGGTCTCAATCACTGATTGTGCCAGTCTATAAGAAAGGACAAAAGTTCTCTTGTGACAATCACAGAGGAATCAGTTTGACAAATATAGTGTCTAAAATATTAGCTTCAATAATACTTCGACGCCTAATCAAAGCTCGTGAAGAGCAGATTAGAGACAACCAGGCCGGTTTTCGACCTGGACGTGGTTGTATAGATTAGATATTCACACTACGTCAGGTCCTAGAACATGGACACACATTCAGACGCCCCACAATCGTAGTATTTCTCGACCTTAAGGCGGCATTTGACTCTGTTGATCGTGAGGTTCTATGGCAGTGTTTGTCACTGAAAGGAGTACCAAAGAAGTACATTAACCTTATAAAGGCTCTCTACTCGAACACAACTGGTAGAGTAAGAGCTTATGGCGAACTGTCATCAGAATTGATTACCTCAAGTGGTGTTCGTCAGGGCTGTCCACTCTCCCCATTCTTGTTCAACTTTGTCGTCGACGTACTTTTAGAGACAACACTCTCTTCATCTAAATTTCCAGGGGTTGAACTTCTACCGGGAGGTTCACTTGTTGACTTAGAATATGCAGATGACATAGTTCTATTTGGTGAAGACGCTGACAAAATGCAGAGTCTTCTGACCACTCTAAGCAACAATGCAAGCATGTTCGGGATGCGATTCTCTCCCTCGAAAAGCAAAATGTTGCTTCAGGATTGGGTTACATCGACACCCGAACTAGTGATAGGGAGTGAAGTAGTTGAGTGTGTCGACCGCTTCACTTATCTTGGAAGTCTCATCAGCCATTGTGGTTTAGTGTGTGACGAAATCTCAGCACGGATACAGAAGGCTCGACTAGCTTTTGCCAACCTGCGTCATTTATGGAGTAGGCGAGATATCCGTCTATCAACCAAAGGACGTGTTTACTGCGCAGCAGTTCGTTCCGTCCTACTTTATGGCAGTGAAACATGGCCGGTAAGAGTAGAGGATATCCGTAGGCTACTAGTATTTGATCATAGGTGTCTTCGAAACATTGCTCGTATATCATGGGACCATCGAGTAAGTAACACAGTTGTTAGGAAACGGGTACTAGGTAAGGATGGCAAATCAATTGATGAAGTAGTGAAACTTCATCATTTAAGATGGCTGGGACACATGTTACGTATGACCAACGACCGACTACCTCGACGTGCTATGTTCAGTGGTATAGGAGTAGGTTGGAAGAAAGCTAGGGGCGGCCAAACCAAAACATGGCACAAGTCCATGAAGTCACTGACAAGTGAACTGAGTCATGTTGGTAGGTGTAGACTACCTGGTTGGGGACCGCGAGATGATATCAACCGATGGTTAGAGACCCTGAATGACATGGCTCAAAATCGTTTGCAATGGCACAGGTGCATCCACTCTTTGTGTTCTCCCAAATTCTAATCTTCTGAATTCTTCATGTCCCTTTTTTCCTCTTTCCAAATTTATTTCACTGGATTATACTCTTTAAATAACATCTCCAAACCCTAATCTTCCCGATTACTGCTTATACTCTTATTACCTCTACCACTACGGGATTTGAATCGACAACTGCATCTCTGTGCTAATGTGGTGTGGCAACTCGAACTGATGTACGTACGTACGAAGTTCTACGTTGTTACTGACTGACTGACTGACCAAAGTGACCTGAAGAAATTATCTGAATGGTCTCAAACCTGGCAGTTGCCGATAAATACTTCCAAGTGTGTTGTGATGCATATCGGTCATCAAGGTACAGATACATACACGATGAATAACACTGAGCTACCCGTCGTCCAGACATATAATGACTTAG